TTCTAGCTCAGTATCACAGGGGGCTCAGGGGCAACAAGGAGATGGTGACTTTTCAGGACCCCACTCAGGGCCCCTGCCACTGTCAGACCTCCCCAAACAACAACCCTGCTCCTCCTTGCGATAGTCCCCCACACAATGCAGATGTGGCACTTCCTCTCACATGTAGGTCATTATTTCTGTAAGTAGGTTTAGATGACTCCAATATAAATTCTTAGATATAATTATGATGATCTGTGTGCCATAAACTATTTAAAACGTGCGTGTGTTTTTTTTCCGTGTATGCTCCCACCATATTTTCATACACAGTGTCATTAGTCAGTCACACTCCCATCTACGTGATCACACAGTACACGTAATGCAGGACCCAAAACCTGTGTCCTTCTTTTGACAGAACAGGATTTACTGTAAAGTTAAATATTGTCCATACTCTGTGTGGGTTGATATATTCTTAACCTTACTATCAAGGGTACCTGGTCCCAAACAGCCCACAGAATTCAGAATATCAAGTTAGCCCATGAGGCAGCTTGGGAAATGGATAAATCGTGAAGGTATTGTGTAAGTGGGGGGAATACATTGACTAAGATCTGGGGAATACATAACGCTTAGAGCAGAGTTTATGGACTAACAATTACAGAAACATAACAATATACATTATACATTGTACTCCATCGGGTGAATTTATAGCCAAGATAATCCACTGCATTTAAAGTGAACCATTGTGTACATCTAAAGGTATTTAGATATGAAAGTGTGTATTTGTGTTTTCAATTTCAATAGCTCAGTTACAGATGAGTTTTAGTGTTTAGGATTCTAGTATACACAAATAGTATATTTGTATACTAGTGATTTACTGTGACATATTTCCTATCAATATTTTTGCCAACGAATTTACGTTTTTTCATTTTTTATAATTTCTTAACGTGTGCGTCGAATTAAAATACTTCTTAAGCACATAAGTACATTTCAGAAGCTATCTGTGTAAAGGATATATTTTTATACTTAATAAATAATGGACGTGAATCTCCTTGAGTTTTATAAAATTAATGTTCCACGTACAATGTAGCAGTTTCATCGTCATCACGTTAAATAGAAGATTACACAACATTATGACGTGCATTTTGGTACAAAGAATGAAGTCAGTATATGCTGTGTACTAATAAACGTATATAATTATAATAAATAGGGATTTTTATTCTGGTGATATTATTAAACATTCAACCCCTATAATGTAAGACAATCTAATTAAATTATTTGGAAATATACTTGGCTAGTTTGGTTTAAAAAAAATATACTTATTTATATATATCATTGTGTTTTTCTTTCACTAAATATGATATGTATATTATAATTACATATGGTGGTCTGATTCCTAATGTGATAACATAATAATGAAACATTAACAGAGATGTGCACAGTATTAATTCCACTCATATTTTCTGATACAGAACTGATGCATATATATGTATGGTTACTTGTTTACTAAGAAAATTAGAATTAACAAAGTGAAAATATAACAATATATGTCATTTAAAGAGAATATTAATATACTGCATGTGTTAAGGACCACCTAATCTCAGAACATTGGATTTCAAGCATCTGAAGTGGGTAAATTCAATACTGCCTGCACGATGAGATGTAATAATGAGCTGGGGCAACTTTTAACCAACAAGTACCCAATCTGAATTTATAACAAAATAAATATAAATAATCTTACGATTGTATTGCAAAATATTAAGAATCGACACGGATAGTGATTTATCCTTGCTCTCCACTAGAGGTCGCTGCTGTATTCTAGCTCATTATCATACTTGTCAATGGATGGAACAAGTCGTGGAAAAAAACAGTAGAAATGTGGTAATATTTTCCAAATGTCTGTTCATATATATATATAGTATGCTAGCTTAATTTTAAACAATAAAAATGCCGTAATAACTAGGTGACACACTTCAATAAATATGTACATCCATATGTTGCAAAAATACATGCACCTTCATTTTAAAAAACTATCTATTCTAACACTGAAATACATACATATTTATATATATACGTATGTATGTGATCGTGTATATGTTTGTGTGTATATGTGAATACTGGTTTTAGTTTACTTGCATTTAAAAAAAAAAACAACAAACAGATTAGGGAGTAGTTGTTCAAAGAAAACCGAGGTAATCAATCATAGCTGAGCTACTGCATTAGATGTAAACTGAAATTATAACAATATATGATTTAATTTATATTTTATTTTTTAATTTATTTTTTTAATGTACTGTCCAGAGAGAGCTGATCTCAATCTCAATGTTTCTTTCCTAATAAACATACATAGAAAATCCGCGTGTAGTAGAACAATAAATATTGATTTCTAATTATTTCTATTTTATGTTCCTTCAAATAAACTGTTTAATGTGTAATTCACACACACACATGTTTTCTACATGAGGGGGTTTGCAGTAGACAGATAATAGAGACACTGGCGCTTTGTTGGAGGCCTCCTGCTTGCCAT